TTCCCAAATGTGTGCAGAATGGCTATAGCTGAGCAGTATCTGTTAGTGTTGTGTAACTAGCCCAGAAACCCTCTGTAGAAGCTCATGAAAAATAGTTGCCTTTGTTGTAACTCCTAAAATACAGGGTTTTGACAGGAAAAAGTTAGGAGTGAGAGAAGAGAGACACCAGAAAAAACAGAAAAGACAACAAAAAAAATCCAAGCCAAAACAATGCAGTGGAGAAGGGCTGATTGAGCCATCTGTTGCTGACAGAAATGATTGTGCAACTTGAGTATTCACTCATAACTTGATTACAACAAGCTCATTCTGGCTGGAATTTTCTAGGCTGTCTTTTCTGAGCTGATGCCTTTTTAAAAGAACATGATAACCCCCGATGGTGATGACATGCTGTTTCCTGTTCTAGTTAAACTTCATTCATCATTGAAAACCAAATGCAGTTGAGGATGTGCTGGGCTTGCCATCTCCATTTCCTCCATGATGGCTAGCTCTTTGCTAAGTTTCTTATTTAGCCTGTTACTTGACTCTCCCTCTGAAGTGGAACCACACTTGGGTTCAGAGTCCTGTCACGATGACAGAGGGCTCCCATCTTCCCTGTATATTCAAAGTATTGAAATGTAGTGAATTTTTATTACTTACATTGTAAAGACTGAGGTTGAATGTGAGGGGATGCCAGTGTATCAGGAGTTACAGTTCACAGGGAGTCTGTCAAGATGTGTAGATGGTTTTCTTGCAACACCAGATAAAGTTCATACTGGTATGAAGTGGTATGGCACAGTAGGATCTTGTGTCTGTATTAGTCCTGTAACAACAAGGGCTGTGATCTCGACTGAGGCCTTTGGAGATGTTGAGATGTAAATAGTCAGATTTCCACCCTGAAGTCTTTGGTGGCTGAACAGAAGACTGCACTTGTCTAGTGTAGTATCTTTGATTAAGTGCAATAGCAGCTTCTTAGAAATTAGAATCAGATGTCTTTGGCTGAGTTTTTTTCCAAAAGCTGGAGATACTTGTTGCACGCAGAAGCCCATCAGAACTGTGATTCACACGTTATATGGGCAGCATGAGAACTGCAACTTATTGGATAGTTTTAGAAGAAAAAGTTTTTTAATTTCATTTCACTGAAATTTATCTGTCCAGTCCAGAATGTTTCAGGAGGACTGTATTGGTTTCATGGGCAATCTGATAGAAACACAGCAGATTGCTGGGACTCAGTTCATAGACCCATAGAATGGTTTGGGTTGGAATGGACCTTAAAGCTCATCCAGTCCAACCCCCTTGCCATGGGCAGGGACACCTCCCACCAGACCAGGTTGCCCAAAGCCCTGTCCAACCTGGCCTTGAACACTTCCAGGGAGGGGGCATCCACAACTTCCCTGGGCAACCTGTGCCAGTGTCTCACCACCCTCACAGTGAAGAATTTCTTTCTAAGATCTAGTCTAAATCTACCCTCTTCCAGTTTAAAACCATTCCCCCTCATTCTATCACTACCTGCCCTTGTAAAAAGTCCCTCCTCAGCTTTTCTGCAGGACCCTTTCAGGAACTGGAAGGTTGTAATAAGGTCCCCCTGGAGCCTTCTCTTCTCCAGGCTGAACAGCCCCAACTCTCTCAGTGAGTCCTCACAGGGGAGGTGCTCCAGCTCTCTGATCATCTTTGTGGCCCTCCTCTGGACCTGCTCCAACAGCTCAATGTCCTTCTTATATTGGGGGCCCCAGAACTGAATGCAGTACTCCAGGTGGGGTCTCACCAGAGAGCAGAGTAGAGGGACAGAATCGCCTCCCTCGCCCTGCTGGCCACACTTATCTTGATGCAGCCCAGGATGCGGTTGGCCTTCTGGGCTACAAGCGCACATTGCTGGCTCATGTTGAGTTTTTGGTCGACCGACAGCCCCAAGTCCTTCTCCTCGGGACTGCTCTTTAGCCATTCTCCACCCAGCCTGTATTTGTGCTTGTCTCTCCAGTCCTGCCTGTCAAGTATCTGGGTGCCAGTTGCCTGCAGTTACCATAAAAGGGGGCTGCCCTTGGCTATCCTATATCTAAGCTAAACCTCCAGGAACCTTGAATGCCCTCTGGGCTCTTGAACTCTCCTTGATAATACAGCAATGCACAAATTGATATAATATTCTAGGACATCAGACCATCCTAATTTTCATGGACAGTCATCTCTCTCCTTTCATAATCATCAAGCCCTGTGTACAGCGAGGGACATTTTTGGTACCCATTATTCCAATTTAGAGAAGTTAAACAGATGGAGGCCTTTAAATGCTTTCTCACAAAGCAGACTTGGCATTTCTTTGAATAGCTCTATTCTGTACTTGTAGAATTTGATCTTTACATTTCTGAAAGTGCCTGATGAGAGCTGTACAGAGTGTTCCAGACGAGGTGTCTCTGAGACTGTGTACAATTAGCATTCCTTCTGGAAATGCCTCCAGAATAAATTCATGGACAGCTTGGATGCCCAAAAGGTGTGGCTGACCTTTGTGCATAAATGAAAAACCGTTACAAGGCCCAAATGAGACTTGAGCTATCCATCAGCTTTATGTGTGGGTCTTCTTGAATATCACCAAACCTGATCATGGACTTTTTGTTTGGGAAAGTAGCTGTGACAGAGTAATGAGGGAGGAGTGTTCCACATTTTTGATCTGAGGAACTTTTAAAAGTCTATTTTTCTTTCTGAAACTGAGAAAAATGCAGACTGGAAAGTAAACACAACTGAGTGAGGACTAAGAATGAGTAGCAAGTGTCAATATATATCCTTCCATCTGGTACTTCCACTTGATTTTTTTTTTTTAATCGCTGACAGCAAGCAATACACAAGAATCAAAAATAACATATTTTCATCTCAGCATTCTTAGAAATAGAACATTTCTGCCTGGTTTTTCTTTTCCTACAAATAAGTACATGGCTTTTATTCTTCTCCGTTTAGTTGAAATATTTAAATATTGAGAACTTAATTTTTCATTTACTTTTGAAAAAAAAGGAAATAGGAGTCATGGTCTAAATTAATAAAACAGATAGAAATCTGCAGTTCTTACAGCCATATTCATTTCTGCTCATCAGGTATAATGCATGCTTTTAAGAGAGTGGCAAATTCATTAAGGCAGTGAATAAGACGTTTCCTGTATCTTTGTAAGCCTGGCAGCTCCCTTCCTCTTGTCAGCTCTTTATTCTGTTCCCTCTGCCACTCTTAATCCCCTGTTCTGCCTTCTAAATTGCAGCTTCCTCCATTAATCCACCTGTTCTGCAGCTCTCCAATTTATTTTGAAAGGCTTTAGAGAAAATCCAAGTATCACACATATTACTCCCACTGCTAATTCATTTTCTTGTCCTTAAATACTCCATCAGAAACATGTGTGATTTCTCTTTCCTCTTTGAAGTATTTCTCTGTTTCCCAGGGTTGACAGTTCTCTGCTTTGATCACGGTCTCTTCAAGTCCTTTACCTGTTTGCTAGCTCCTTCCAGGCTCCTTCAGGCTAAGGGGCAATAGCTCCAGGATGCCCTCCATGTCACTGTGCTCATTTCCCTCTGGCCTTTCCTCTTTCTTTCCCCAAGGCTGATTTTCAATCCTCATTTATTTCATTTGGCCTCTTTTCTCCTCGTTTCCGCACCAGCTCACACGCTGAGTGGATGCTCAAGCTCTGCTGTCTCCTGTTCACAAAAGTCAGCATTTAACAGGGGCTGTGGGAGGTCACCACTACCCACGCCACTGTTTCACCTCTGGGATGAAGTTGCCTTCTCTTGGGCGCCTGCACAGGGTTCTTGTCAGTCCCTAGATCCTGCAGTCCTTCTTCCAGACCAAAGCAGAGACCAGAGCATAGGCACAGAGGCCTTAGGGAAGTGGAGGGGCCGCACATTCACACTCTTTTTGCCGATGATTAACCATAACTTCCCTTTCTGAACCTTGTATAAGGACCTGACAGTCTGCTGCCTGGCTCACCTGCTGCCACCTGTGTTAATTTAAGTAGTCTGATGAGGAGAACGTTTGTTTTTGGGCATCGTGGAAGAGAGCAACAGTTCCCTTATGCTATGGAAGAGCAGTCAGGGCACAGCTGGGTAACGTTACCCTTCTCAGAGGAGAACTGACAAACATGAGTTGATTCGGCAGCCTGTGATTTCTGTCCGTCACTCCTTTCCCTGTAAAGCATGCCTGTAAGGGGCATATCTTTCCCCTCCACTAACTGGAATGTAGTAACACCAGTGATGAGATAGCATCTGCTGAACTGGTAGTGGTCTAGCTCATGGGCTGAGGAAGGAGGGAAAACTCACCTGCTTAAATATTGTCCTCTGTCCTCTCCTGTGGCATGAACCCTGTGTGTGTTTTGCCCACTTCTGTTATGGAGGATCCAGTAACAGGGAGAATTGCTTGTGGGTTTCATTGGTGGTGCTTTTCATTGTCATAGCATTTTCAATAACTATTTCAAGTAGCAAGTTTAAACATCCAATGCTTTGTGCTGGAAATCAGGTATTTGTTACATTTTGTAACTTTTTTTTACTTTGTAATTTGTTGGTAGCTACTTCATGGCTATCAACCTTGTGTATTCATAGACCTTGCAACCAGTTGATGGCAATGCAGTAAAGCAACCTGTGTGCAAATTATGACTACTACATGTTTCCTTATAGAAAGACTATGTGCATCAAACTGCTTAATGTCTTCTTCATTTAGTTACAAACATCTATAATGAAAAAGCTCTTGTAATTAGATTATCTTTTCTGCTTTGAGCCCTTTTCCCATCTCCTTTTATAAGGGAGACATCTTGTTTTGAAATTCTCTATTAGTCCCTCTGCTACAGCTGAAGAGCAGAACATTAACCATCTGCCGGCATATCCTGGTCTTCAATTATCTTCAGTTATCTTCAAGTGCAGTTGGTGATGTTACATGTTTGATGAAAAACTTATGAGGGAAAGTACTTTTTGGGAAATAGACCTTTCAGTGTGCATTGTACGATTTCAAGCTTTTTGTGCTTTTTATGACCGCTGAAATAATTGTGTTCTACTTTTTTATTGCAGTATCTACTAGAAATGAAAAGCTTAATTCTGCCCCCTGAACATATTCTGAAGAGAGGGGACAGTGAAGCAATAGCATATGCTTTCTTTCATCTTCAACACTGGAAAAGAGTAGAGGGGGCATTGAATCTCTTACACTGTACATGGGAAGGCAGTAAGTAATTATGTTTCTTACAGAGGAGCTAATCAAATATTTTTTATTGAATGTCATGAGAAAATAGTCATTTTTTGTGTAGTATAGTATGTGAGAATTTTGGAGGTCAGTTACATCCTCACCAGCATTGTGATATTTGAAATTCTAACTGGAAACATGACTTCACTTAAATGAGAAAGAGAGTTCTGAATTCTTGGATTGTCTTTTCTGTGTAACACTGAACAAAATTGCCTGTCTTCTTTCTGACATATTTTCTTACTCATGGACAAGGGAATAATAATTTACCTTCTTAAATCCAGAGTTGTACAGATTTGTTTGTCATTATTTGTATGCTTTGATATTAGGAAACTATGGAAGTGCCTTATAAGCAGAAAAAAAAACAACAAAAAAAACATAAAATACTGATTTGTTTTTTACTATTCATTAGTATTTAATTGACAAACTGGAGTGAGTCCAGTGGAGGAGCACTAGGATGTATAGGAGGCTGGAACATGTGAAGTAGGAAAAGATGCTGAGTGAGCTGGTTTTATTCAACCTGGAAAAAAATGAAAACCTTCTGGTAGGTGAAGTAAGGATCCAGTTGCTGCTCTTCTGATGAGATAATATTGAAGACACAGTCAAAGCCTCCTCAGAAGGGCACAGTGGAAAGACGAGAGGCAATAGGCATAAGCTGCAGCAAGAGAAATTTCTTTTAGACATAAGGAAAATATGTTCAGAATGAGTGGTTGTGCACTGGAACAGGTTGCTGGTAGGCTGGGGGATCTCCATGCCCAGAGATACTCAGAGCTCAACTGCATTTGACTCTGAGCAACCAGACCTAACTTTGAAAGTTACCCTGCTTTGAGTAGGAGGTTGGAGTTGTATACTAAACTTTGAACCTAAATTATCCTATCTTTGAGATGTGCCCTTCTCAGGTTCCAGAGAATTAAAAAGTGCCATTTAGAATCAGCCTCTGTGGGTTTGTTTTAATGCAGATTTTTGTGTCTGTAATCTGGTCCTGCTTGTCTGCTCTGCTTTCTCCCATTCTCTTTTAGCCTGTCCATTTGCTGTTCTCTTTTAGGTTTGTTATAAAAAGGCACAGTTTGTCACCATGATAATTCCTACAGAAACATACTTAATACCTCCATTGTAAAAGTGATTTACTGCCTCAGTCACCATATTAAATGGCCTGAACTTGCCTAATTTGCAACATAGGCTCCCTGAGGAAGTCATGGCTTTATTTCTAGGTGTATAGAACACCTTGCTCGGTTAGCCATGCCATTACCTCCTGGGGTTTGCTCTGCTGCATTGCTCTCTGTCCTACCTCCTCACTCTTTTCCTGTTATTTCTCCCAGTCTGTTATTTTCTCTTTCATAGCTTCCTTCCCAGTAGCTTATTTTCAGTGATTTGCTTTTATGTAGTGTTTCTTCTCTTCCAGGTGCTTACAGAAGTCCTTCAGCCCAAGGCTTATTATCCCATCATTTTGGGGCAGTATTTTGCAGGGAATCCTGAATAGATCTTGTACATTGTCAGGCTGGGGAGTCCCTAAGGGACCAGCTTTTGGCACAGGAAACTGGCTGGCCTGAAGTCCTCCTGCCACTTAGGAAGTGTAGTCATCTGTGCCTGAAGGCAGTGCTGGACATTCTCATCTAACTATATTAACTGATTCCTCTCCTTACTACCTCCACAGCAATCTGAATATTTGCTTTATTAGCTAATAATTGTGTAAAAGCCTGTAAAGATGTAAATTATTATTGTTGCATAACCTTTAAAGAAAAACCCAGAATTCATTTTGCACAGTGATTTTGAAGAGAGATAAACAGTACACTAGTCCTCAAGAATTTTGTTCAGATTTTGCTCTCCTATAAAAACTCCCACAGGTTTTAATGTTTTCACCAGTATCCAGTCCAATAGTAATAACTTTTGGTCCATGTCTTAGTCTGGGTAATATTCTTTACGGATGAAGTGAACTATTTATGTCCATGTAATGTCCTTTACTTGCAAAAGGTTTCATTACCATCTCAGTGCAATTGTAAGTTAAAACCAGTGGAAACATGACAGAGAAATGAAATGTAATGACATACTAGTTCTAACCAACAGTCTACATACAGGACATGGTCAGTTGCCCTCAATTTCTTTCTAGGTATTTATGTACTTGCCATGTCTTTAAAGTGTACTGTTCTGCCAGTGTGCTTAAATAACCACAGGTCTCACTTTAGTAGCTTGTATGTAGGAATTTAATGCCCACATATATGGCATATATAATGCACACTGTTCAGTTCTGACCTTGTGGGAACTGAGCTGAATTCAGTACAGTCAGTCAGTCCCTTGAGGGGGACACATTTTGAATGCTTCTGAGGAGAATAAAGTCACTTCTAATTAAGACAGCCTCTTAGCAAAGTTTATGCAGAAATGCCTTTGTGATATTTTAAAACTCAAAAATTCTCAGAGCGTTTTTCCCAAATTGCATTCAACAGTTGAGAAAAGTGAGGTTATTAAAATAACGATCATCATCGAACTGTTGGTTGTTTCCTGCTCTGTCTTCATTCGTTCAGTCAAAGTACAGCTTTAGTCGTGGTGCAGTGAAAAAAACCCAAGTGACACCGTGTGAAACATTGCTCTCGGTTTGGTGCAGGTGCTCTCTGCAGAAAGTCTGTAGTTTCAAATGTAACCAAATTTCAAGAGAGTCTGAGGTGCTTGTTTGTCATGGTTGATTTCTAAACTTCTGTCACATTTCCTGTTGTTTGCATGAAGAAGAAAAACCTTGGTATTCTCAATGCTATGGTAGCTTTTACAGCAAGTACACAGCTGAATGACAAGGTGCCTCTGTGCTACCTGCATTGATTAACGTGGAACAGGATCACATAATACTGTACGAGTAAGGCAGAGAAGTACCTGTGTAAACACAAACCGGTACAGATGAACCAGAGCACTTTCTTCCATGGCTGATAACATCGCTAAATAAATTGTTTTGCTGTAAATATCCCATATTTGGTCTCGTGTCAAAGATGACTCTTTAAATTCAGTAAAATCTATTCAGACATTTTTTTCACTTGTTTTGTAAAAGCAATGTCTTTACCATCCCTTTTTATTTTGATGAGAATCTTAATATTACTGTGGTTTAGGGTAAGGCAGAAGAGACTTGGCTATTTAAATATTAAGCCAAGTTGGAAGGAAAAGCTTGTGTTAGTTAGTGAGTAGTTAGCATTGAATATCTCTCCACATATGTTATTGTACAGATGCTCAAGTTTTTTGCATGTGAAGATCATACAAGGCTTGGATTATTGTATTTGTAGATGGATTTTTGGGGTGCTATGCAGAATGGGGGTTTAATATTGGAAGAGCATTACAGCCCAGGTTGGTTTACAATCTTTGAGCATTTCTGCCTTCTTTACTATTGCTTTAAACATAGTAATCAAGAATAAATAGACCCATATAATTGCCAAAAAAATACAGCTAATGTTATTTCAAATAGTGTGGATAACTGAAAATACTGATGTATTGTGTATTTAATACCAATTCCTCGGTTGCCTTATGAGCAAGAGATAATGGAGTGTTATTGTGTGGTGGTGGGCTGTAGCTAACATCTGAAATAAACAGTGCTTCTAGGACATCTGTTGAGGAAAATATTGCTTCAGTTCATAGGAGTAGTGAGAATAACACGTTGATGACATTTTAACGGTGAGAATAATATATAGGATAATGGAAAAGGATGCCTTGATTGCAAAGCTATAATTCAGTCAAGTATTCGGATGTTTCCATAAGCCACACTCAGATGGCCCATGACATCATCACTGTCCAGATTTAGTAATCCATTTCCCTCCCTTGCTGTTACTATTTTCAATTTTAAAAATGCATAAGATTAAGTATTATTTAATCCATGACCTGAAGATTTATATTGGAAACCTGACTTGATCTGCTACATTTGAAAAGAATGCATGTGAGGAATCTGGTTTTAATAATTCAGTATTAATCTTTGATTGCCAAAAATAAAATGAAAACATGACTATGTTGGAAAACTGGTTCTCTGGGCTTGAGTCATCAGCATTACCTGGTTTGCTGAAGTGTGATGGGAAAAAAGTAGTGTTCTTTTTTCCACACAAAACTTCTGTTATGCTTGATGTGCAGAAATTGCAAGTATTGTCCTGAATTCATGAGCTTGGCTGGTCATTTTTGTAGGAGAGAGAGATATATATATATGTATGTATGTATGTAGGTATGTACATACGTACGTATATATATGTTACATCAGATACACTTCTTTCCCCTGCAGCCTAAAAGCCTAAGAAAGAATGTGTAAATTTGGGTATGGAATTGTAAGTACAGTGGGCTCTGATCACACATTTATGTTTGTACTTGTAATGCGGTCTCACTTGGTACTCGTGAAACTTCTCCAAAGAATAAAGATAAAGTCAAGGGTTTGCAGGATTAAAAGCTAAGTGTAGGTTTATAATTTGTCATTTCATTAAGTGATTTATATGCTGTCTGCAAACAAATGTTATGTTTTGTCCATGTTTGTTTTTCAAAATTGTAAATGTATTTAAGTATGCCCAGTGACTGCCACACTCACTTGTGCACTGTGCCGTTTTCTTTTCAGCTTTCAGAATGATCCCCTATCCACTGGAAAAAGGACATCTTTTCTACCCTTACCCTATTTGTACAGAAACTGCAGATAGAGAACTACTACCATGTACGTTCAACTTTTCTCTTCTTATCTTTGACATCGAAGAGTCGTTTACCTGAGTCCTGCAGCACTGCTCTCTCCATCAATGCCTTTTAAATTAAATACACTGGATTAGGATAATCGAGCTGACAACGAGTCTCTGGAGCTCCCTTGATGGTTTCAGAGGCAGCTCCTAGCCATAATTCATAACAATTAGCTGTCTTTATTGGTGTTGACAGTGGAGGGACAGGGAGAGAGATTACTGGAGAGATGTAAATCAGTTGGATCTTGCTATTCTCCCCCTGCCAAGACACTGGAAAATGTGTCTGATCTTTCATACAAGGTAACATCCCATCAAACCAAAAGCAGTGGCACAGCCTTGTTAGTCTTTTGTAGACACATCAGCTACTTAAATTCCAAGGCAAGATCAAACCTGCCTGAGGACGGCTGGATCATTAATGCAGCTGTTCTGACAGCTTAAGCTGATGTTTTCTGAAAAGCAGTCTTAAATAGCAAGAAAGGGTTTTCTTCATGTAATGACGTGTGTGCTGTTACGAGGAGATTGATGTGAAATTACCGCAGTCATTTATTAGATATGTTTATGGCATGTGTTAGCAGAGTGTCAACAGTGTTTCCAGTGCGCTGCAAGATACAGATACACAGACATATCCAGCTCAGTGGGACCATGTGTGAGCACAAGTCAAACACACACAAGTGTGAAGGGGTTTGCAGGGAGGCAAATTCAAGTTAGTCCAAGGAGGGAGATTCTTCTCTCACCTTCTTTATCCTGAGGAAGTAATAGAGAGAAATCTGTTCTGGAAGAAGTAAAACATAGCCTGCTTCTGCTGTGAAGGCTGGTTTTGAGGGCATTTGCACTCTTTGTATTCTTTCATTCAGAACCTGTCTGGTTTGGGCTGAAAAATGTGTTGCCACTTTTTATAAGCCTATGTGAGTAAACATTAGGTGAAAATAATACAGTGAAAATCCACTCATTGCAAGTCTCTCCTTCACAGTACATTCTCACTGATACTACACAGAAATCCTTGGCAACCGACAGTATCTCCCCACCCCATTATAATCACCCTAATTATAACAACACCTCTTGGAGTGCTCTGCTTGCTTTACTCAGAGGGTTGCTGAGCTGGGAAGGGTGGAGTGTCAGGAGATTTAGGAATTACAAAGTCATGCAGAATAGCTTGGCATTCTCCGTTTAGATGCAACACGAATCGTTCTTGTCAAATGTTAGAAGCCAGGGACTCTTTAACAGCATATGCAGACAGTTGTGTTCTGCTCTGGCAGTTACAGGAAATGCCTTTCACTGCAAAATCTCTTGGGTTAGAGTGGGGAAGGGTTTAACATACCGTGTCAGACACAGGTCGGTTAAAGGGGTTTTTGCATACCTGTCCAGACCCTTTAACTGAGCATGTTTTAAAGGAGAGTCAGCTGGAATTATGTCAGAACACTAAGGTCTGATAGGCTATCTGAATTAAAAATATCAATCACAAAACTTTTGCCATGACTGGATAACAGACCGGAACAACAAGTTTAAGCCTGTGTCAAAAGCAAGTGCAAAAAACAGAGCACAAGAAATCTTAGCCTTATAAAGTCCATGATCAGGTATTTCCTGATCTCTAAATTTAATTTAAAGCAAAGAGAAGTTGCATATTATCTGTGTTTTTCTTTTTAAACTGAATGAATTAGCAGATCTAAAAATCAGAATCATAGAATCATGGAGTCATTATGGTTGGAAAAGACCTTTAAGATCGTCAAGTCCAACTGCCCTCTAACACTTGTGTGCGCGGAAAACCCTAGATGTTTTGTTTTTAGGTTAGTTTTCTGAGGTTAGTTGTTGCACAGCTGCTTTATGGTTGGTGGTGACACAAGGAAGGCAAAGGTAGCATGTACCTAAGACCAGAGTAAGCTAGAAATAAGAACTTCAGATGAAAATTATTTGTCAGTGAGATGACTGACACAACAACGTTTGCCTTAGATGTTTCAGACCTTCTATATGTTTCTTCCTTCAAAAGCATCTTTGGGTGTCTTTGGTTGTTCGAACCATGTAAGAGTGTTGGTTTGGTTTTGGTTGTGGGGTTTTTTGTTTGTTTGATTGGGTTTTTTTTACATATAATGCATTCCCCTTCCCATCTTTTTTTCTACAGCATTTCATGAAGTTTCAGTTTACCCCAAGAAAGAGCTCCCCTTCTTCATCCTCTTCACTGCTGGCCTATGTTCGTTCACAGCCATGCTGGCCCTCCTGACACACCAGTTCCCAGAGCTTATGGGAGTCTTCGCAAAAGCTGTGAGTATTCTCTGCTGCTGCTCTCTTCTGGTAAGCAGAGAGACAGATGCAGGAAGAGCTGAGCTAAATATTGCTGGATATTAAATATCTGCATATTCAGTAGTATAAATAAAACTTCAGGAGATATGTGAGCAGGGACACATTTGAACTACTGTTACGGGAGCTAATCAGTAAAACGCACTACTGTCTGTTTTGTCTGGCTTAAATGGCTCTTTTTGTTAGGCTAGATCTTTTGTGATTTTACCAAAAAAAGGCTCTGTGGGAGTTCTTGCATCAAGATTTTTCTTCCCTTAGCTTTACAAGACAGAAAATAAGATTAGCTGCAGCAAAAGATACCACTTTTACCAGCAAAGGGAGCTGTCAAAGTTAATGACCTAAAATCTCTCCCTGTTAGCCTTGCTCATCAGCCTTTTTAGAGAACCTGCTTTGTTCAGATATCCCCAACTGCCTCCAGCCAGTTCTGTAATGTACCTGGAAGTAAGCTTGACGCTTACCATAATGAAATTGGAATAATCCAGTTGTTCATTGATCATTTTGTCAGACTGAATAGAATTAACTTTAAGATGAGAGAAGATTTTAGCTTTCTCACTTGGTTAGGGAGAAGCATGTTCATAGCTTGTGGATTTAATTTTTGCTAGGCTTTTAAATGAAAGACTTTTGGAATTCATATAAGATATGAATGTAAGTAGAGCAAATTTCTGATTGCAAGGCTTGGATAAAATTGTCAGCGCAGTGGAGGTATTACTAAATTTCCTTCATTGTCATGCAGAAATATAACAACATCTGGAAAATCGTTAAAAATATGTAAGTGCAAGTCCTTTCATAACATGGTAGCAATAAGAATGTGTCTTAATAGAATTGAGAGTTGTATGAACAAGGGAGTCGCTATATAATTCGAGTCAGCAGTCACGTATAAAAGTCTAGTGCCTAGTTAAATTTTTTAGATGAGTGAAACTTCAGAAAGACTCATTTTTCACTGTTTTGATTCCTGTGTTTGCCTGAGATGGCTGACATGGTCTGTTTTAATATTTCTTGTGTGATGGATGAGACCTCTGTTCAGCAAGCACGTTTGTCCAGGGCGATATTTTATCTGCGTGGGCGTCTGCTGACGCTGAGGTAGGGAACGCATAGATCAGATTGCAGGGACTGAGCAATAGATAGGCAGTTCCTCCATGCAAACACCAGCTTAAAATGATACTGTTGCATATCTGTTTTAATCAAATGGTGCTATTCAGAAGGTGCTCTCAGACAGCTGCTTTCTGCCAGCTTTGAAATAGCCAGGTTGGTAAGTTTTCTTTTAAAATACAAAAGAATAATAACAAACTTTTTACAGGTGTCCCGTCACCAGGTCTGCCACCCTGAAGTCTTTGCTGCTGGTGCTGCCTTGTCTGTGCCCTGTGGAAAAAAAACAAACAACAAAACAGTGTCAATTCATATCCATGAATTTAAATGTATTTTGTAGGCCAACTGTTTTTCCAGGTGGAGAAAAACATGGCTTGTTTTAAGCTACAGGTACTTTGCTGAGTTTGTTATGAGATACAGTCAGCTACTTCAGCAACAAAATTCCTATTAATTAGAATAAAACTCAGGCAAATTATTCTTGTTCCATTGATTTAACAAGGATGTAATTTGCATTCTTTACAAAGCTGAGTTTTATCAAAGTGGATGTGAAGGTGCAAGTTTAGCACATAGATCAAGTGCTACTAAGCCTTTTGCTTTTGCCAAAATTAAAGGGACATATGTATTTAAACAGTCCACAGCTTAACCAGAGGGAGTGTTTCTGCTTGGGCTAAGCCACTTGAAATAGTAATAGCAAACTCTAGGATTAGGTAAGTCAGTGCTACATTAATTCAGCTGCGATTGACATTATTCAGGTTGACCTTTAGCACTACAACTGACTCTGTTCAGCTGCAGTTAGAAGTAGTTTTTTCTTCGAACTGTGCTCATGACAAAATCTCATCACTGGCGATGGTGTTACCTGGTTTTCCCATGACGCACAACTTGCCCATGATGTAGTGTCTGTACTGAAAGCAGACATGTCCAAGAGGAAAAAAAGAATTTGAATGCTTGCTATTGCCTCTAAAATGTGTAAGCATCATAAGCATCAGACATACTTACAGTTAAACTCTGCACAGAGCTCATTCTGGTGAACAGCAAAGCTGTTTGCAGATATTTTCTTGCTTGGTACCAGGAAATGGTTATAATGGCTGGCTGTTGGATATTGAAATTTTGAAACATTTTCAATACAGCTGGCTGCTGGGAACTGGCCCTGCCCTGCCCTGCTCTGTTGAGGAGACACTGGCATGGGCCAGAGCTGTGCCAGGAGCTGTACAGGCGGCTCAGGAGTGTGGCTGGCCTAGGCCAGCACCCTGCACTCTGCCGCACTCCTTGCTTTGTGGGAGAAGACAAGGCCTGACCCTGCCAGCCCCCTTTGCAGCTGGGGCAGGGAGGGGAGACAATTTCAAAGGGCAGTTCTGGTCCTGGGATGGGTACGTTACTCTCTGGAAGTGCTTAGTTCTCTTCAGTGAATACAGGGGGTCCAGAGCAGTAACTGAAACACAAACCTCTTGCAGCTCTTTGCCAATCGGTTCTGGAGAGAGCTGTTTTTAGTGAGGCCACATCAGCCTGAATGGTGAGAAGGCGCAGGGTTCACAGTCTCGAGGTGGCTGACTTTGCATATTGCATATGCCCCAACATAGCTGTATGTAATGTGTACAGTTGAACTGCAATTAATGTAAAGCACACTTAATATGTATTTATTTCCCAAAACTTAGGGAGCACTTTGAGTTACCTGAGTTCTGAGATGTGAAGTACCTGGTACTTTGAGTACCTGAGTTCTGGCAGTGTTTTTTTTCCAGTGATGACATGGTCTCAATTTGCTTGATTTGTGTCACATATCCGTGTCCTCATATTAATGTATTGAAACCTCTTTCAACATTGCCAACTTCGTTCGGTAACAGAGGGAGAAGGGTAAGGAAAATTCCAGTTAGTGGTGCCTCAGTGTATATAGCAGATCTATAGATAATGCAGAACCATTTCAAACCTGAATCTAAAGACACACTTTCTGTCTCTGAGAGGTGGTCAGGCAGATTGTGCCACCATGAAAAAGCCTCTTTCCCTTCAGTAGGTTTTGGTTTGAGCTTTTTTAGTGGTTTCAGTATGAGCCTGAATCTAGGGCATGAGATGTATGAAAACTTCTGTAGTTCATCACTTTGATCTTCATCAAAATGGGGCTTTTGCTTTCTTTACTGCAGAAATCTGTATATAATCCAGAAATCTGTATATATGCAAGGCTCAGAATTTGGCAGGAAGTCTTTAAACTTGAATTATATCATTTTTATCATGCCGGAGGATTTCACAGAGGAACACAGCAAGAGTTTCTTGTCTTCTTGGGCAGCTTTCACTTGAGGTGTATTGTCTCCTGGATTTTGATCTGAGTGTGTCTGATTTCTTTGCAGTTTCTCAGCACCCTCTTTGCCCCTTTAAACTTTGTGATGGAAAAAGTGGAAAGTATCCTGCCCTCCAGCCTGTGGCACCAGCTGACAAGGATCTGAGGAGCACGCCTGCTGACTGACTGCCGTGACATCTTCTGTGCCAACGTTTTGTTGACCACAAGAAAGCATGATAAAAAAGGGAAGCAGTTCTAAGACTTAAAAACTCTTCATGGATTGTCTGTTCTCATATGAAAACTGTTTTGTTGTACATACTACATTGATGTTAGGTTCTATTATATTTTGCCTTCAGAAAAGAAAAACTTAAAAATAAACTTTTGTGTATTGCAGCATTGCTGTCTTTGGCTGCTTCTTCAAAGCTCAGATTGTGCTTTGCGTTCTTGAACAAGTGTGGTGTAGCTGCTGCACCACAGCCAGAGCCTGGCTTTCAGTGCAGTTAATGAAAATACACTAATAACTCCACAGTTAAGCAGTGGTATCACTGCCTTTTCTTACGGAGTTGAGTTACAGTGAAGCCCTCACCGCTGCTGAGAGTCTAGACAAGGCTTCTAGACAGTCAGAGCTCTTGCTTAAAGCAGCTTTGGGCTCTGCAGGCAGTATGGATGGCACTTTGGGCTTCTGATTCCCATCCCTGCACTGATCTCAGTTTTAGCTTCATTTGAATTTTCAAAAAGTCCGCATACTGTATGGATTTTCTGCATACCACTGCTGTTTCAAGTACCTTCAGAAGCTCTATGCTTTGTTCTCTCTCTGCAGAACAAACCATAAGTAACAACAGAGAAGATAAATTTACTTGTAGTGAGTGACCATTGCATTTATGCACTTACATATTTCTTGCTGGGTTTTTATTGCGTCACTAGTACTTCTCAAGTATGGAAAAACAGGTACTTTTTCCTGTACAGTTTAAACATTAGCATAAACTCTTGCTTGGGACCAGAAGCTCATTATGTAAAATCGGTGTTAGTTCATGCAGAATTAATAGAGATGGGTGTTTCATCATTAGTGCTTACCTCGGGAAGTCATCCTGGTGCTGTGAGAGGTTTAGGCAAAGGGTTCTTTTATAAATTAGCCGCTGTAGATGGAAACTTCCCACAGACACCTCTGCTCATGCACGAGGCCAGCTCTAAGAGCAAGAATTTGATCTAGAAGTTGAAGGAAGTAGTCCTGGCTGTCAGAAATTGAAAGTCCATCAAGGATTTTTTTTTTTCAACTCCTCTTCCGTATAGGGGAGCATAAACTCCATGCAGCAGATCAAAATGCCACTTTCCCATTTCAGCTTTGTTGTTCTGCTAAAAATGTTGAGCAGCTTGAGAAGCTGTGATCACGGGTTTGTTTATAAATGAGGAAATGGGTGAGCAAAGACAAAACTCCCATTATTGGACTTGGTATTAAAGGAATGTGCAGGAGATGCATTACATTGTGGTTTTTTGCCCTCTTGATCACAGATAAACCATTCCATGTAGAAGAAAGATTTTTGTCCAGGTGAGCAATGGTGCCACATTAAAGCAAACACCGCTGTGCTATGAAGAAAAAAGAAAGACAGCCCCACGCCAGGAGAAATCAAATGTAAGAATGAGACCTGAGGGAGGACAGGAGATCAGAGAACCCCGTGGCTAAATGTTAAAACTGGTGAGGTGTGTCGCTGTTGGGGATTTCCATACAGGGTTTTCACTTCTGGCCATTATTCCTGCAAAACAATTCACTGCAATGTTGAAACTAGTGTGGCTGCCGTTTAATGTGGGATGTGGCGTAAGATTAGAGGTAGTGGATTGCTAGTGGACAGCGTGAGGAAGTGTGAAATGAGCCAAAATTTGTGTTCTCAGCTTTGCATCTGACTTGCTAGAACAGCCAGCGAGAACTCCTTTAGAGCAGGTGCTCCAGTGTGTCTCCAGCTGTAAAACTAGGGATAATTATATTAGTTAGTTTGCCTCACAGCAGTGCTGTCAGAATCAAGGTCGATGGAAATCAGAAGGTTGCGGCATAGTCAGCTCTTGCTGTCCTGGGCTCTTTTGTGTCACTTATTCCCAGCCTTTCATAGTTCACATATATGTACCCAACATTTCAAAGGAATGAATTGCAGTGATTGAGTTAACATTTGAATGTATTTGCATATCAGTGTGTATCTAGCTATCTACTGATGCCCATGTTTGTCAGCTGCTACGGTACTAGTTTGGCCTTCTGCTAGAAGAAGAGATGATGTGTTTTCTGATCTGTGTGGGAATTCTTAGCTGTACAACCTGATGAAAAGGAATACTTAACTCCTGGAAAAAATCAGATCCTTCCCTTGAACTATGGGGAACTTTCAGGAACATAAAAATATATTTATAGAACTGTTTCTAGTATCCATCTCCCTTATAAGCAGGTATGAGCCATGGATTTTATCTAGAAAAATATCTCTTTAGCTTTAGTTATAATTCTCGGCATTTGAGAAACTAGGCAAGGCAGACAAAAGGATCTTCTTTTTCGTGGGGCAGAGTTTGTTGCCGTAGGCCGTTCTGCCTCTGACTTGTTTCCTGTGAAGTTCAGCATGGCTTAGATCAAAAGGCGAACACAGCCCATGATTAAAATGATGGAAAGCCTCTGGCTTAGTGCAGAGATGAGCCTTCGAGAAATCTGTTTCAGATAATAATTCATCCCAATCTTCAGATGGCAGATCTGTTGGGGGGAGTGGGGTGGGGCTTTTAAGCTCCAAATGTTCACAGTTGCTGTGGTATTTTTCCATAAAGACCACCAATTTGGGTGCATGCTAGCTCTTTACACTGTGACCTGCATACAATGAAAAAGGAGAGCTCCCCAGGAGCGTCAGGTAAGCCAAGCTGGGCATCTTCTGGCCCTCCCACCAGGTAACTCTACAGCTGCTCCACGGCGGGAGCTATGCTCAAGAGGTGAGTGCTGTGTGCAGGGGAAGGCTGCTGTTTCCTGGAGTTGTTCATCTCTTGCTGTTTGGGATTCCTCCCTCTCCACTATTTTCTTGCTTTTTTGACAAACTTAAACCTTAAAATCACATTGAGCTCGTTTAGGAGAAATCTCATTTTCAGCGAGATAGCACAGAAATCCTTACCCCAGTAGAAAGGAGGAAAAAAAATAATCAGTTTTCCTATGTTGCAGAAGTTGCGCACCCAGAGGAAGCTGCGGCCCTTGCACACACTGCATGCATCCCTGCACTCACGGTGTGATTACCCCCACGAACTGCTGCTGCCTTTCAGATAATCATGCAAGTGCATTTGTGTCATTGGAAGTGGCAGGAGGAACCTGCAGCCTCGTGTGTGTAGCCACAGAGCCGCCTCTGCCCTCAGAGGTGGTCCCCACCTGCACACAAAGGCTGTGGCCCTTCCTGAGGGCGGGCACTTTGTGCTGCCACACAAAGTGCTGGATTAAGAGCTATTACATTCCTGGTGAAGCACTCTCCCCAGCCCAAAAGCTGTGTGACCTGCACTAATCCCCAGGAAGAACATTCCTTTCCCCTTTGCCACCATTCTCTGAGCCCTGGCCTGCAGGCAGGGACCACGGGCGCTCACCAAAGGCAGGTGTGATTTGGGCATCCAGGCCACATACCCTACAGCAGCTGTGCAGCACGGTGCCACAAATGCAGTATTTTAGTTCTAATTCACCTCTGCAAATTACACAAGAGATTACACAAGGGTTGGAGGTGAGGGTGAGATGCACAAATTGGGTTCAGATTCAGTTCTGCAGGAAAGAAAGAAGCAACGCAACAATCTCTCAAGCTGTAATACCCACATGCCCCAAAATACACCACCATTCCTAAAAGTCTTTCCCCATTAACCATGGCGTAAAAGAAAATTATGCATTTTTCATGAGATTTCTCCTAAAGCAGCTCAACACACTTTTTAGGGTTAAGTTTCTTAAAAAGGACAATACTGGGAAGGGAGCAATCCCAAAAAGCTTGGCAAGCTGACGGTGTTTGAGAGTGCTGCTAGATTCCGATTTCATGCAGCAAAAGTAAAGGGAACTCCCTCAAGAAAACTGGACTGCATATTTCAAAAAGTAGTAATCCCATAACCTTTTGCCTCAGCTAACATTATTCTGACACTAAAGTGTCTACCTAGGGACAGCTGTTTCCTCTTCATGACTAAATACACGAGCAAATTTATTCCATACAACAAAATACAGGAATATTTCATTTGCTTTGCCTATGTTTCTTCTTGCCCCCCTCCCCCTTTTTTTTTTCTTTATTTGGTTAGCTGAAGGTTGAGGAGGTGCCTTTCCTAGCAACATTGACATCTCTGAGTCTTTTCCCACTGAGAAATAGCAAAAGGTCCCAGGAGGGAGTCATTTCTTCATGGAAGAGGCAGCAGAAATGCTTACAGCTGTAAGAAGCCCACCTTTTCTTTCAAAAAATTCGTAAATACAGCAAAAAAAATTAAGTAAGTCACCAGCTCAGCTGTTACACATTTATTGTTCTGCCAAATACTCTGGTTTTCCTCAGGTGAAGTGGGTTTGGTGGGGGATTGCCCTGCAGCTGATTGATATGGCACTCATGTGGAATATAAAATTCAGCTGCTGGGCACCTTTGGTGAGCCTACTGCTGAGCAGGTGGGGGATCTGGTGACAAAGGGACACCAAAAAGGCCAAGGTACCCACTGCCACCCTCTTCCTGGTCTGACTGGTGAGAGAGGAGCCACAGGCCTCGAGACCAGGGGGAAATCTGGAGCAAGAAGACATACCTGGAATAAAAGCTGCACCTTTAATACAGTGACCCCAAAACACTTTACCTAGGACTGCAGGATTCAGGTGGGTTTGTTTAGGTATTAACCAAATGATGGAGTTAAGAAGCAATCTGATTTCATTACCTTTTATTCAACTTCCTAGAACAAGGTCCCTTGTAAGAATGAGGCTTCCTTTTTTCCAGAACATTGAAATATTTTCTGCACTATTACATGGTGAATTTGTAGTCTACTCAAAAGGGTCCTTGAATCTTTCAAAACACCTGGTACAAAAAAAAATTAAAAACATTATCCTGCTTTTAATTTAAGTTTAAGGCTTAAAATGTGATATTGCTCAGGCTGTGAACTAACCGTGTGTGGATTTAGCTTCACAGTGAAGTCCTAAGAAAAATTCTCCTTGGGGCTCACCTTTAAATGTGTGAAATTTTCCTTATCCAGCCCAGAGCCGTAACTGCCAGCAGCAATGAGGCCAACAGTCTAAGCACTGAGCTGAACCTGTGCACATATATAAGCAGTATGTGTGTGTGTGTGTGTGTAATGCACGCTGTACGCTAACACACTGACAGGGCTGTTCCCACCAGCAGGTTTATACCCAGAAGGGTGATTATTCTTACTTTGAGCCAATCAATACATTAATGCCATGCACAGCAACTGAAACATTATCTTATCGTCCTAATACCTTTCTGGATCCTCCTAATCTTTTAATGCCAGCTGTGCTTTCTGGAGATGACTTGCCCATTTTAATGATACAAACTTTTTCCAAAGCCTTTCAGATGTAAATGACCGCTCTCGCAATACCACTGAATGCAAACCCTCCTTCTTTTAAAATATCCTTTTTTTAAAAAAAAAAAACATAACCGGAGTGCTCACTTTATTGCTACGCTATGCTACTTGTATATGACTTCTTCATGGACTGTTGGTACCTGCTAAGGTTCCTCCAGACTTTCCATGTGGAAATTTTACTTGCATCTACAACATGTTCTGTCACTCATTCAACCTCCCTTTTCCCATGCTGTTTTTTTATTACCTTGCCTGTTTCTGCACTTCATGGCGCTTTTGCAGAGCCTTGTCAGACTTATCTGCACAGGACCCATCTTTCATACTGCCTTATTTGCTGTTCTCTGCTCTGAGGAGAAAGGGCTGGTCCCTCTCCAACCTAGCTCCTCCTCAGCGAGGCTGCGATTTCTGGGCCTCGTGAGCCTGCACATTTTCCAGCACTTTGTGGTTTTGTGCTGATCCCAGCCCAGCACAACGTGAAACTGCCTCCATCAAAGGCCAACGCACCCTCAGCCATATGTTTTTGCAGAAGTATTCAATGAAAAGTCTCATTTGGAAGTCCCCATCTGAACAGAAAGTATCATTCTGAACACATTTAATAGATTTATTAAATTTAACAGAACATAGAAGTTGATAGATTCTTTAGAAACCTGATCATTACAGAGACAAGGTATTTCCTTCTTCATCAGCTTTCTGCAAAAGCTTTTCTGCTTATTCAGTGAGTGAAAAATAGGAAACATTATCCTCAGGGAGCTGAGTGTCCTATACCCAGCTCTCACAAGGCTGAGAAACAAACCTCTTCTCTTCGATCCTTCAGATCACGAAAAACCTCAGCAGTTACTATTAATGATCTTTTAAGAGCTTTCAAAGCAAGCTTTCACAAATATATAACTAAAACATTTGCTTTGACTCTTTAATAGTTTATGAAAATGCTGTGGTTGAATGCATCTCCTGCAGTTTCCTTTGCTTTTCACCGTGGGCCAACTTCTGTCCCACAGGAAGCTGCAGCGTGCAAATGGCAGCCAGCGTGGCCTCAGCTGTCACCTCACTGCAGACTCCCGTCCATCGGGAATGGACAAACACTCCTCCGGTAAAGCCTTTCACACAGCCTGGCCCCAAATTTTCTCTCATGGAGGAATCAGAAACTTGTGCTCAAACTACTGAGCACTTCGATATCCAGGGCGCGACTGTGACCAGCACAAGATCCCTTGGAAGACACTTGAGCAAGCTCAGTCCACGCGGCTGGTGGTGGTGATGGTATAAAATGCCCCATCTTTGTGTCTTGCTGTGTTCCCGATGGCAGGAAGGAATCGCCACGAGGAGCCTGGAGGAGAGTTGGGTGTTGGTTGGAAAAGTCCGGGCAGAAGTACATCCTCCCAGAGCTGCTTCAGTTTATACACAGACAGCTCTGCATGCAGAAGTGGGAAGTAAATGCTGTGGAGTTTGTATTAATTACACAGATTTCTGTGTGATGAAAGACAAAGGAAAAACTGCTGTGAAAGTTAAGAAGACCTTGGATGCATTCCTTGGACCAGAAAGGGCAGAGTCTGTGGTCCTCGAGCATCACGTCCGGGAGGCCCAGCCAGCGCTCTTTGGCGCTTTGCAGGTGTGAATATCGACCACTTCCAGGCAGTCCTGGCAGCGCACAGCACAACACCAGTGGAATTTGCACTCACATTTCGTCATCCTGCTGACGCGGGAGGTGTCATAGCCTCTGCCGCAGCACATCACTTCGCAGCTGTCCATGCCGCGGGAGGTTTGGTTACAGACCCGACCCGCTGTCCCCAGGGACCCTGCAAAGGAAACAGTGAAGGTCGGGAGGTGGATTTTAAGGAAGGACAGGAGCATATGAAAATAGGTACAGGAATCATCGTTTGCAATGTGTTTGATCCTTCAACATCACATCACCAGAGATTCAATATCAAGTCACAGAAATAAGGTAACCTGCTCTCAAACTTATCCTGGAAATCAGCTTTGGAGATAAGAAGTAGTAACATGGACACAATACTTCAAGGCTCTGCCCCATTCTGTTAGTACCATCGTGCTTTGCTTCACCTTTCCATAGCACCTCTTGAGCATATACCCTCCCCAAACAGCTGTGCAGCCCCCTCCTGCCCCATGCATCCAGTCCCCCAGGGCTGTGTGCCATGTGGCAACCAAGCGAAGACCTACTGAGCCACCAGAGAGGGAAAAGGCGGAGGGAGGAGAGGATGCACTGAATGGAGCCAGAGCTGCACCTGCACCCTGATAAATCCCGGATCTCCTCAGGGTCCGAGCCTGCTCACACTGCTGCCCATGGAGCAGCGCTCTGCATAGCATCCTTGGGGAGGCAGCTGGAGAGCACTTTAAAGTCTCTGCTATTTGGGGTAGCACCTCATGTTGATGTGAAAACCTTGATGTAGGCAGGGACCAGGGCTCAGGATTCAGAGCTATGCAGCTCGCCTGTTGTCCTGTAGGAAGCTGGTGGCAGAAAGCAACCCAAACCCTGCTCCTGGCCACCGTGTCCTCTTCCATTCACGATGCTGTGCAAACAGCAGAGACACTGGAACACAAGTGCTGGGGCTTGTGTCAGCCCACAGCAACATTCAGCCCATCCCAGACGGTGCAAAATACAACCGAGGAACCACCTTTGCAGGGGCTTGCCCTGCCCTCTCTGCTCAGACCACAAAAAAGGCACAAAGGCCAAGCTTGTGACTTGTATGATTAACATCCTGTGTTAGGAATTTGGTGTGAATTCCTGCATGGGCTCCCTTTCACTCCCGTCTGACTTCTCTCTGCTGTGTGCTGCTTTACCTCGCTGATAGGACCTAGTCCCAAAGTCCCAGAGTGCCTGGGCTGCGTAACGCAGCACACCCAGGACAAAAACCTCTAACAACCTCAATTTGGGTTGGATTTCAAACTGCTCAGTGTTTTGCTCTCTGTGCGTGGTTCGTGTGAAATGAGAACACTCAATGGCCTTTGCTGTCCCACCATTTTGTGGTGGCCGCCCAGGCGTCCCTTCTCCAAACCAAACCTGCTCTCCAGCTCAGTGTGTCCCCGACCGGGAGCAGAGCAGGGCCACCTGGTTCTTGGGGGTGCAGGCAGACCCCACGGCCCCCTCCATGCGAGGCCAGGCACGGGGCATCACGCCCAGCTGTGACGAGGTGCCCAGGAAGGTCTGGCTGCATTCCTTAGCTGAGGCACGTGTCAGATTCCAGCTCCAAAGTTCCCATTTCCAGATGTTTGGGGAGACCTCACAACAGCGAAGGAGAACCTGACTGGGATGCACCCACTGGCTTCAAAATCAAAATTATTTCACCCACTATCAGGCAGTCAGAAGCCGGTATCATCTGATACTGCCCACAACACAGCTTCCAACATTTACTACACCACTAGGAGAGGAGACTAAATTATCCACATAACGTGAGAAAAGAGGAAACAGGCTCGTGTAAAGGCTTAGTTTCTGAGCAAAACCAATGCTTTTTTAAAGCTCAAACAGCATCTTCAGCATCTCTGTGGTTTCTCTCATGAGAAAGAAAATGAGCGATACCTGACTGCGAGCAGCCAGCCGAAGTACCACACTCCTAGGCAGGCATTCATGTACCCAGGTGATGGAGACAGCAGAGGACACGAAATAAAATGAGGCAGAGTCTTCTGAGCTTTGCCTGCTACCTGTAATGCACCTCCCATCGCTGAAGCAGCAGGGGTATGTTCTAACTTGTAAAAAGTGTTCGTGCAACCTCTTTGTTTTTATTTTAACTGCTGGAATTGCCATGCCGACACACAACATTGTACCTGCCAAAACATCCACACATTGTAATACTGCCAACTTTACAGCCCATACATCAAGCCTTTTGTTCTTGGTTTGCACAGTTGTTGTCTTAAGCAAACGTATGGTAAATCGAAAAATATTTGTCCCATTCCTAAAGCACTACAATGTATTTATTCCTTTATAATGTGAGATTTTTCCTTCTATTTCTATTGATTAAAAATCTGGCTTCAAGAAAAAAAGTTCATTACTTGACTTTCACCTAAAGAAAAAAAAAGCAGCAAAACAATTAACTGGTTTCCACACAAGCACCTGGGAATTAAAAAAAAAAGGAATTATTCACAGAAAAGTATCTCTGAAGCTATTTTTCAAACCAAGAAATATCCATGTGTTTCCTGTACAACCCCTGGGTACAGCAGGGCCCAGAGACCAGGCAGTGCAGGCTGGAGGAAGCCTTGTTCAGAGAAGCTGGGATTTCCCAGGCTGGCAATGAAGAGACAGTGACACACTGATAAAAACAGCTTATATAGAGTCAGTTTAGAGCAAGTCTGTGTCTCACTTGCCTTTCCACAGCCACTGACAGCTGCCGTAACCTCCCAGCTCCCTCTTGGGGCAATTGCACTGCTCCCCTGCAGGACCACGCTTGGAGCAGAGCTGCCCCGAAGGAAGTCATTGTGAGCCCCACTGTCAGCTTGCATGGGGCTGGGCCTGCACCCAATGTGTTTGCAATGTATAAACTGGGGGATATGCGCCAAGAAGTCACACAGGGACTGAGCATACGCAGCTAACCTCAGTGAGAAGTTTCTGATGTAGATCAGGACTGGTTTCCCTCCATGCGTTACACACCTCGAGCACTAACACATCTTGCCCAACACCAATACTTTGCAGGCTACAATTTAATTTCACATTTTAATTTCACCCCAGACTTGGCCTCATTCATCTCAGAAATGCAGTAAATGGCTTATGTGGGGCAGCAGGGGAAATAAACTAACATAAAAATAATCCCTGAAGGACCCAAAGCAGCTCACCCTGGGCATACGGTTTTGTCACCCCATGCACAGCTCCAGGGGGGTGGCCGTAGCACTGCACGTGCATCTCCACAGTGCTTTCCACCAGGAGACCAGGTGTGGAGGGGCCTCAGACCCAGACACAGCACCCTGTCTGCCTGCTGGGGACACAGAAGATGGCACAAGAGACCACTATCTGGGTACATTACCTCCACCCCATGCCCATGCACAGGCAGAGGCAGTGATGCTGGCTTTGACAGCACCCAAACTGGGACCATGTGAGGCAGAAATCTACGGATGACTTGAAGCACATGGCACACGAGTTTGCAGTAGGTCCTAAGGGACTGCTGCAGCAGCTCAAGACCATCTACACATAGCCATGTCCTGCCTCTGCTCCACCACCTCCTCCACATGGCCAAACCATGCTACCGGAACAGCTGTGAACAGTCAACACAGGCTCACCAACACCATCCTGACACTCACCCACCACCTCCACCTTGGTGTCCATGCTTGGGGACGCAACCTCCCTGCTGATACGCACCACCTCAGCACACGGAGCTGAGCTCAGCTTGCTCTACACACTTTGGTGGTGGTCTGAAGGAAGAGGCTTCACTCAAACACTGGCTCCATTTTTTTGGTAGCTTTGTACAAATTAATTTTTAGTAAACCTGTTCTAAAATATTTTCTTTTGCAGGAAGGCATCACACTGCTTTAATTGTCTCCATGAACAACAGCCTGTAACAGAGGCTTGGGCAGCTGTGGGGATGCCCACACTATGGCTGTTCACATGGTTATTCCTAAAGCGGTCTCTGCTTTGTCTGCTCTGTCCACTGGTACATTCAAAACATGCATGGGTGGTCAAATCACAATCTTTCAAAACTTAAAATGCTTCTGACAAGCAGCAGACAAGCAAGAGGGTTTTTCAGAGCATTTTGGAGGTGAAGTTACGCATTCAGGGTAAGAGAGAACATGTGACCGTGGGACTGCCACGTGTGTAGCTGTCACTTTAGTTTCCTTCACAGCACTGTCACTTCTAACAGGTCTCTCCCTGTGTAGTCCTGTATGTGCTTGCATTGGTTTGGGAGCTGGAAATTTATAATAATATAAGGGAAGATCATGAAAAGTGTGGTAAAATTTGTAAGTTCATGACAAGATTTTCAAAAGCTCCCTGAGATATCCTACCTCTGTTTCTATGAAATTACAAGTATAAAATTTTGAGTAAAAAAATACTTCATGATCCATGTGAGCAGTTAAGTGAATACTTCTGAAAATCTTCTAAAGATTCTTTTAAGAGTCTAAGATTCTCTTCTAAATCTAAAGATTCTCAAGATTCTCTTCTTCTAAGATCCTTTTCTAAAAGTAATGAAATCTTAATGGTAGATAAGAGGTGGTCAGGTTATTACATTCTCTTGCTATTGAGTTGCTATTAGTGTTTTCCATGTTCTCTTTCTCCCAGAATCAATCTTTCCTCTTTTCCTTCCAGGAAAACAGTAGTAACAACATGTTTTTCACTTTGTAGGTGCGATTCATGTAGGTAGGTCCAGCTGCCTCCCCAGTCAGATTGCCAGACCCAGTGGGGTGGGTTCAGACCTAGCACCAAAGAGAAGAGCCACCACTGAAACCCCCAGCAGTAGCAGATGAGATCCATAGTTTTTTTGGATAGGCTGCTGCTGATAAAACTCCTGAGCACCTTTGACTTACTGGTTCATCCGTGTTAACACACAGAGGACACTGGCTTTGCCATTTTACAGTTTAAGAAGCTGTCTCCTGGTCAAGTTGCGACACTTCATAAGGTTTGCTCTGCGAATCCTCCCTTCAGTCCCAATACTAACCAACCTCCACATAGACTTTATTTTTTCCCCTGAAGCACTAAATTGCTTGAATTCCCCAGAGAACGAAAGGCAGAATGCTATTACAGCACATACTAAAGCACTGTGGCATTACATGCAGCTGATGCTGACATGCTCCCCACCTATTTCCAAACTCACACTCCCATAAACTCATGTCATCTCCAGCCATTTACCAGGGCTGACACTGCAGAGCGTTCAACAGGGCAAACCAAAGATAATCAAGAAAAAATCCTGGTCAGCTGCCAAAATGACCTCTTTCAAAGCCAGACCAGATTTTGTTCACCTGATTCTTTCTTTGCGAGCAGCAGGGCATCTTCCCAGAATCACAGAACCATTACCGTTGGAAGAGACCTCTAAGATCATCAAGTCCAACTGTCAACCCAGCACCACCATGCCCACTAAACCACGTCCTGAAGTGTCACATCCACGTGTTTCTTGAACACCTCCAGGGATGGGGACTCCACCACCTCCCTGGGCAGCCTGTTCCCGTGTTTGACGACCCTCTCAGTAAAGAACTTCCTCCTGCTCTTCCAGTAACTAAATTTTTCCTAATATTCAATCTAAACCTCCCCTGGGTCAACTTGAAGCTATTTCCTCTTGTCCTGCCACTGGTTACATGGAAGAAGAGACCAACACCCACCCTTCTACACCTTCCTTTCATCTTGCACCCCATTAAATGTTTATTGCAGACTGCCAAAAATGTGCTCTTCCAAACAGCCACATTCTCTGAATTCTGGGCAGCAAGGAAACACCGCCTCATCTTATCACAGCTTTATCTTGAGCTGAGCCAAAGCACACATCAGACTCTGCCATCTCTGGTCAGGTTTGACAGGATGAAGCAAGTGCACGTAACACTGTGGTGAAAAATGCCTGCTCTCCTCCATGATAACAAGACTGACAGATGAGATTAGGCTTAGTACAAAGAGATTATTAAACAACTTTTTTACATATAAGTGGGTCACGTACAGGCTCTTCTCTGAAGGGGAAAGGAATAACGGGTTTCACAATGAACCAGGCAACCTCAAGAAATTAAGTTTTGAATAACCTGCCAAGTCAGCCTCTGCACAATGCCACAATATGCCCATACATTCACTTGGATGACAGTACTGCACTTTCCAGTATCAATCACTATCCAAGTAACAATATGTGCTTGTGCAGGTAATAAGCACCACCTGCTAAAGCCATAAATAACATTTTAAATTACCTTGACTACTCAACTAACCAGAAACACTATACAATGTAGGTGTACTGGATGAAATTCTGGGTTCACTGAAGTCAACAGTACATGATCAGGATTTCACATATTGTTCTTATTTAAGTACAGTTGTTTTGCAATGCTTATTCCAAGTAAACTTGGATTGTAAATATGCAGCGGTGCCAAAAAGAGTTGAGTTGCATTGCTATCCAGATACTTAGGGATAAGTCATACTGGGTGCAATCTGGTACGTTATAGAATCTATTAATTAGTTCCACAACATCTTTCATACATTACTCAGCCTGTCTCTCTTTCCCAAACTTTTGGTTTTCTAGTTGCTAGCTTTTAATTACCACATCAGGAGATACCATACATGGATCAAGGACCATTAGCAGGACTCCTGGTGCTTGGCAATGCCTTGAATCCTGTAACACTGCTAAGCACGCCTCTACTGAAATCTCCAAAAGCAGAAAAATTCAGTGTTAATGGCAGCCCTGAAACTTTACCTCTTCCCACTGGGGCTGGCAGGACTCTTCAGAAAATGTGATGGTTTTAGAAGAAGTCTCCACTGCCGCGTAAAGAGGAACAGACAGCTGTGTCACTTGATGCAGTGTGCTGTGCCCCTCCGGCCTCTGTTCTTTCACCCTGTGTGGTACCACAGGGACATCACGGGATGGGGCGCTGCTGTAGTTGCATCTGGCAACGCTGGAGTGAGCTGTGCGATACAATGTGGATGCAGCTGTGTACGGTATGGGCCTGCCTCCAGGGCATAACTCAAACTTGCTTTGAAAGCAGCTTTTGTCAAAACATCTTCCTACCTGTTTCCTGCTGGCTACATGCATGGATTTATATATATATGTATACACACAGTCAATAAGAATGGTAATTTTTGACATTCAAAGTACAAATGTCCAAAATGAAACCATTTCTGTGTAACAATAGACACTTACCTACATCCCTGTCCCTGATACAGTAGTCTGGAGAGCTTTCAAAGTATACTAAGTCATTCTTAGTTGGCTTCTTAAATCTCTTATTGGCCACAGTGAAACCCGTGCCATCTTGGTTCATGACCACCTGAATCGCTCCGTTGTATTTCTTCCACAGATAATCTCCTGTTCTCCTGAAGTCTGCCATGGCCAGCCAGCAGGTCCTTAGAGTGCACGATCCACTCACACCATGACACTTGCACTCCTGCTTCAAAAACCGCTTCACGGCCTGTTTAGAAATGCAGTAAAACACACACAGGTAAAACAAACAGGAATTTATGTTTCCAGACCTTTCCCACACAGGCTGTTGTGCCAGGCTTGCAGTGTGCCTCCAAATCACGGTCTGTAGTGACACCCACTGGTAGCATCTAGTCATCCCCACATGGCTGGTCTGCTCTGGTTGCTTGACTCAACCCCACAGGTCCTTGGGCCGGTGGACTTACCCTTCCTGCTCTCACCAGTCACCCTCAGGATCCAGATGGGCCATAGTGCTGGGACACAGACTGGGCAGGAGGAAACCGTCTGGGAAAGGGACTGAATCAGCCCCTTGGTAGGCGAGGGTACCCCATTCCCCACCGCTTCAGAGGAAGCATCTCCATGCTGACTCTCTCCAGCTCACCTTCACGAAGCTGCCTTTTTGCCTTGAACTGTGTTTCAAATATTGCCAAGAAATTCACAGGTATCTCATATTGAAATGTTTTTGCAGAGACTGTGCAAGGTGGTGTACCTGGGCTAGGTGTCTGGTCTACACAAAAATTTTAAAATATGGTATAAACCTTTAACAAACATTTTAGAGTAAGATCTTCCTTAGCTTGCACTGGAGAGATCACCTTCATCACTAATTTAATGTCTGGATAGCATTAAACCATCTCAGACATGTAAGCTCTTGTGTGACATTGGAGAACAACAGATGGGTTCGTATGCAATAAATAATTCATTCCTAATTCTTATTACATGGATATTTGACCTATATATATATATATATAT